AAATACATTCATATTACTAACTGTTTATGAATTCCCTCCTAATATTGATATCTACTCACTACGCACAATGAACTGCTGGGGTTTATGTTTAAATAAATCTATTGTCTGGCGTTTACTCTAGCCCGCGCTATAGTTGATTACTAATCGTGTATCTGATATATCGTCCTAATCTCAGTCCGTATATAGTGTATCGATAGACTTTCCGATTCGGTCGTATTATCATTTCAAGAATGGGCCATTTTGTCGTGTAATGGTAGTAATATATCATGGTAAATCCAAAAATCTTACTATTTTGTTGTTATATTATTAAAAAAATGATCTGGTCTAAACAAAAGAACTTCAAATGAATTTTTCCACACTTTCCCATTCTTACTATTTCTGTTGTTAGCTTCTAGTCCACTATCGCGTAAAACTACTATTAAAATTCCAGCTGACAGTGCATTTGCTCGACGTAAAGCATATGATTTGAAATGTAATCAATCACGTCGTCTGTCTTGTACACCTCATCGTGTTTCCAAACAATTATCAATAACTCCTCCTAAATTGACTACTGTTATACGACAAGATATTCGTATACCTAAACCATTTGTAAATGTTCGTCGTAATAAAATGGAATTATCAAATATTTGCAAACAAGATCGATTAATATCAAGACGATTATTAGTTGATAAGAATCGTGGTTTATAATGATTGTATTATTTATTCACATATATATATATATATATATATATATATATATATATATTCCTCTTATTTATCTGTATAATATTTATCTAATATTTAAGTGTTTGTATCATAATTATCTTGTTATCACCATTCCATTTTTTTTTGAACATGAGAGAAATATTGTTACTTCTCTCATATCAACTAATGTCATTCTTAATTGTCTTTAATAAGTGTTCTGTTATTGACTAATTATTTATACTTGGGTTATTTTTGAAAAAAAATCTCATCTTATATATCGTATTTATTAGTTTATAACTATGCTTAGAATTTTTTTATTTATTTGAACACATAAATATTGGTACAAAGGGGCATCGAATACATATGCGCCACACAAATCTCATTTGATTTGTGTGAGGGCTGTGATACTGCCCAGGTGCCAAAACTGAGACAGACGGTTTTCTTAGGGAGCCACACCCGGAGCCTTTGACCTAGAGGCCTGATCCACAAGGCAGTAGAGCATCGTGAGAAAATGCAGTCCCATGGTAGCCGGTGACCAACGATTGGTTCATACGCTATTTGTTGCTTCAGGATACTGGAGCCAGCACATGTGCACCATTGGTTTGTAATCATGGTTTTCCAACTCCCCTAGGTGGACTCACCGTGTCCACCAACCTGGTTAAAGCGCCGGACATTCGCTTTTCGTCCTTTCAATTTCGTAAACAACAATAATGCCACGAGAAGGCAGTGAGTAGGACTTGTGTGGCAGAGGCTATATACGCATGGCCATGTGAGAGCATTTCGAGAGGGAGAGCGTACCAGGGCATTTGGGGGCGATTTTATTTTCATTTCATTAGATTCTCTATTGACAAATAATCACTATCAACATAAGGGTAATATGACACAAAATATACATTAGATCAAGTTTACATTAATACAACAAGATGAAATGAACAAAATAAATGGAAAATAAGTCAAATTAATCTTAGTCACAAATGCTCTGGTACGGCCGAGAGTGGGGACAGTCCACTCTCCCTCTCGAGATGCTCTCACATGACCACACGTATATAGCCTCTGCCACGGAAGTCCTACTCACTACCTTCTCGTGGCATTATTGTTGTTTACGAAATTGAGAGGATGAAAAGCCAATGTCCAGCGCTTTAACTAGGTTGGTGGACACGGTAAGTCCACCTAGGGGAGTTGGAAAACCCTCATTCCAAACCAATGGTGTACATGCACTGGCTCCCGTATCCTGAGGGGACGAATGGCATATAAATCAATCGTTAGTTACCGGCTACCATGGGACTGAATCTCCTAACGATGCTCCACTGCCTTGTGGATCAGACCTTTAGGTCAAAGGCTCCGGGTGTGGCCCCCTAAGGAAACCACCTGCTTCAGTTTTGGCACCTGGGCAGTATCACAGCCCTCACACAAATCAAATGAGATTTGTGTGGCGTATATGTACCTGGTGCCCTTTTGTACAAATATTTCTATGTTTAAATAAAAAAAATTGTGAAAAAGACTAAATACTAAGAATATGCTTTTAGAAGCCGAAAAAGAATTATGTACGTATGAAGGAATACTAAAACATGATAATTAGCAAAATACAGAGAGTAAATTCACGTGCCGTTATTGTCACTAATTCTAAGTTGTTTCGTCCATTTCCAACGTTTGATTTCAGTTAATACATTGACACTAATCGAGTGGTCATTATCTACCAACGATCGATAAAACTAAGTTAATACTTAAAAGTAAATCTATTGGTTCTTAGTGGCTAACAATTTCTCTGCAGAACATTGACAATGAAAAAAATTACAGAAATGAAAGGTGGATAACCTTGTAACCCATTTAAATGATTCAATGTAAGGACAGTTAACTTTTGGTTTCCACTTACGATTTTTATTTCACTCAATATCTCATGTAAAGGGATTGGGATAAGGCATGAACAACAATTAAAACATAATGCTAGTTCATTTTTATTTCTTGCCAGTTGTTTACAACTATTCATGCTAAAATATAACATTATTAAAGAATTACTAGAAAAATCCCAGGATTTTTAGTTTCTTCTTGCAACGACAGCTATGAATAATAATTCCTTATGACCTTTGCTAGTTTCTGGTAGGTTACCGGGACTTTCAGCCTTCTAGTTTTTTGTGTGTCAGGGTCACATGTGGTTATTGTGTTTGTCTTCGCCAAATACCAAGTTTTCTTTCTTGGGTCATATTATTGAGGATTATTGTGTGTATCAGTCACGTCTTTCTTGAGTGTTTAGTCGATTCCGTGCGTATTAGAACCATCTCAGTCGTTTGTAATGGTAATTATCATGGGCGGAACCGAACTACATATCCGGGTACATCATTAATGAACGCAGATGATTTAAGATTGTGAGATGATAGCTCTTTCCTTCTGGACGCATAAATTGGATGACTTCCTCGAAGGTCACCAACTTATTGATGGATAGTGAGGATGTTTTTGTCTAGTTCTGTCTCAATCGATTAATTGTCAAGCTATTGCTATTTTTAAAGATGTGGGAAATTTTAATATCAGGGTCTTCGGAAAGTGCTAGAACATACGGATGTGTACTCTTATGTGTATATTTTTACTGTGTGTGTTTGATACGCACATATGTATTGGTAAATAGTCTGGAGTATCGAGAAAAGGCGGCTTTTGTTAGTTTCAGGAAGCGGTTCGTTTCGTGTCAGATAAGCCGTGTCATCAGGTAAGTGATCTCTAGTGTAATGTCCAGTACTTGAAACAAGCTGATTAGTAGTATGTAGCGAAACAGAAGGTCCAACAATGTCATTGATTTTATCAAAGTATTATTACTTGGACCAATACATCAGTCCAGGATATTCTATGTCTGTTTATTAACCAAAAATAGTTTAGTTAACCGACCAGTATAAGCTCAGTGGTTAACTTGAATAAATCTAATCTGGGACACATTAGGACTGCACAGAAACTAGGAAGTTTTTTATCATCACTGACATTCGTTGATACCTGTAGAAACGTCAAGTAGTGCAGAGTTCTTACAGTTGAAATTTATTTTATCAGTAAATATGGCTATTCTCAATACTGACTTTTGATTGAGCTCTTAAGTCGACCAATGTTAGTTTGACTGGTTAGCGTTTTTTACCTACGGGATAGGTTGCCAACCCTTCTTTGTCCGGGCTTGGGACCAGCAGTAACCACCATCGAAAACCTGGACGGCCGTTTTAGCCTAACATGGGGATTCATTATTGCGCATCCACGATTTCTCACATGGGACTGGAGAATTATATCGACACAACAATCATTTTACAAAACTTGACCACTAATCGTGTTAAGTTCAGTCCAGCTTGTATATTTTTCATAGAAAAGAATATCTGGAACTTAACAGTCGACTTATACTAATCCACTCGCTACTATGCAAGCTTATTACTGCTTTCAGTATAACTCAGAATCTATTGGGTGGAATTTTCAAACTACTTAGTACTGCACACTACACAACTATCATTCATAATGGTGTGTTCCTTCTATTTTTAGTGATGGTTTTAAACACAATTATCTTGTAGATCATTGATTAGGATAAAAACGATGAGAAGCTCATTTAGATGCGGAATTATTAGGGTAAAAGTGTTTGTGTAAATGAAATCACTTTGAGGATAAATAGTATGATGGGCTAATATCAGTCGCGAAACAACAGAGAAGTCAGTCATCATTAGACGGTTGTCTAACATTCAAATTGAGGCTGTGATTCATAGTTGACAGATTTACTACTACTAAAAAGACTCGTCATTAAGATGTTACAGTTTAAGGAAAATTAATATTTATCCCAAGGTATATGTACGGAAGTTTAGCACCTGAAATTCCTATCAATAAGCATATAAAGAACCGCGATAGGTTCCATTCTCAAAAAAACTGCTGTGTTGTGGACGACGACACAGCAACTGAACTGTAGTTTTTCTGATTATCAATTATACTACTTTAAAGTAGTATATATTAAACTGCTAATGCAAAATTAACGGTTTGTGATATTTAACAAGGTTTTTTATTCCAAAAAGATTAACAAACAAAAATGTTGGAAGTAATGGGTGTTATGGGCACCACTATATTTATGCTCATAAGATACGCATTATACCTGTACTACAGTCAATTGATTTACTCAAAATTACAAAAAGTGTATATCTCTGTGTATGCGTGTAAAATTGTTGTAATCACCGGAAGGTGTTTAATTATCAATACGTAAACAACAATTTAAAAAATGAAATGAGATTCAAACATGAATTCACCACAATATTTGTTTGGTTTTTTTAAGTAAGATATCAAATTACTACTAATAGGAATGTTAGTAATGCTGATCAATTTTCAGTTGATATTAATGAATTATTTGTTGATTGATAAATTGGATTTGAATTGTCCAACAATAAACTTGTACTGGTTGATGATAACTGATCATCATCGTCATCATAATCTACAGAGTTTACATCATAGTCTGTGGGATTGGAAATTGGGGAATCGATATTATCCCTGATCAACTCATCGAATAACTCATCATCTGAATTGTTTACACTATTATTATTATCAGTAGTATTGATGTTGTGATCATCATTATTATTTGTCTGAATAGTTTTTTCATCATTACAAATTGTATTCTCAATGAGGTAGTCGCTTTCATTGTGAAGAAATTGATTTGATTTATTCAAACTGCATTTGTTCAAGTGATTCGTTTCAATGTTCAATGGATGATTGAATTCATTAGATTTCTGATTAGTTAATGGTTTCTTTGTTGTTGTTTTTTGATTGGTATTATCCACTTGTTTATCAATCAATTCATCATTATCCTCAATTGTGTTTGAATTCTTATTAGAGTTAATGTTTTGAATGTTGGAAACATTGGAGATACTTAAATAATAATAGTGGTAAAAACAATCAAAAAGAAACAATAAGGAGTGTATTTGGAAAACTACAGGTAATCAGGATATAATAATCAAAATATCACTCATTTGAATGAAGAGAACTCAATGTTGAATACTATTTACTTTAAAAAGTAACATCAGAAATAGTGTTCAATAGTATACCTTTATTGGGTCATATACTATATAGTCTAAATTTGAGAATTGATCTATATAGAAAATCATTGGAAGCATAAGACGGCAGTTAAGTCCTAATGTTGGACACCTCAATAGTGAGTATCTATGATCGCGTACACTGGAGTCAAACTAAGGATCTTTGGTCCCATGCACAAACGCTTAATCTCTAGACCATTGAACCAGAATACAACGGTTACTTCTAAAATTACTAGAGAGTCTAGGCTACCAACATACATGCGCTCCAAGCATTTGGATAGATGGAGGTTAAGCGTACGATACCGAGTATCAGGAGTAATTCGACTGACACCTTAATTTTTTGTCGACTCAGGGGTGGTTAGTTCACGTGTTATTATTGCTCAAGCACTGCCTATCTCGACATACTATACTGATTAGAAGGTTCTGAACAAAGTGGCATTGGACGGACCAAAATATGGCACTAAGCCCATAAGCTGTTATTTACTAGTTTAAGTCAAGATTCATCTAAAGTTTTCCCACTGTTTAAGTTACAACGCATTTTGGAAAGGGAAAGTTTACTGGTTACGAGTTGTACAGTAGTCAAAATCCAAATTAGGAGAACTCAGTTGAATCGAGCACAGTTGGTTGCAATAGAGTGCATTCATTCATAAGACACTTTTATCAACTTACTGTGCATTTCATTTCTTTAGTTTTAATATACTAAATATTGACTATTAGTGAAATCCTCAATAAAGATAACGGGAAAATACAAACCTGTAAACATGTTGACAGCTATCTAGACTTTGTAGCTCAACGGATAACGCGTTGGTATTTAAAGTGATAGACAATAGGTTTGCATCTCAATCTGAAACATTAACAATGAGTTGGAGGTACATCAGACTGAGGAATCCTAAACAGGACGAAACGTACAACCTAGATTCCACTGTTAGCCACATTTCAATTTAATTACATCTTGTTACTAAATGACACTACTGAAGCAGTCCATTCAGGATGCGTAAATGTCAATGAAAAGTGATTAATTACGGTCTTGAATATCAAAAAAATGAGAAAATACAAACTCTTACAAATAATTACACTTAAAACAGTCTACCGAAAACCAAAAAAAGTGATCATTTAATGAAGTGATTTTTTTTTACCTTGGTGAACTATTTGAATCGTTTAATATTGATACTTCATTTTTATCACATATTTCAATACTTTTCACTTTTGGTATACACCTATTCATCGGTTTATTATCTAAAAGAAATCATACAGAAACAAATAAGTGATTGTGTTAAATGTAAGTCAGTAATCAAATGACCAAATAAAATCATCATCGTTACGAACTGACATTGTTTAGACAACCCAACCATTGAAAACCAAGAAGTAATGAATAACTATCTTGTCGTACTATGAGGATCTTCGGAAGTGAGCATCTTCGAACCTATCAGCTTTCCAGAGGTTATTCCTGGAGTTCTAGAGCAAATCTGTGACTAGCGGTGTTCAACCATATAGGCAGTGCGGCATCTTGTCATCAATAGTATTAAATAATGGTCCACCAATATATCTAGTTAACTGAGGTTAAAATGCAAACCGTTTGGCAGGGATTCAGTGATCTAGAGTCTAATATGTCTAAAGGTATTATCTCTGATAGCTTGGTGAATATGAACTACTGAAGAGTTCCATACTAGGACAAAACAGCTGTCAAAGGTTTCCTAGTTTTAATGGTTGTCTAAAAACAACCAGTCTGTGATGCTAGAACTTCTTCAGGGTAGAAGTTCAGACAAGTTTATTAGACGAAACGTTGGAATTATTTAAATTTCAATCTAAAGTAATTAGTCCCTTTGCTAAATTTCGTTAGTGTAATAAGAAGATGAAGTTTATCAGAACTATGTGATGATATATTAGTGCAATACATTTCGAACAATCTGACCACACATAATATACTTGTTAAGAACATTTGTATATAAAAATAAAAGTTCAACTATACTGGAAATGGTGTAATAATAGACAAGGTTAATGATAATAAAGAATGTGAAAACAATTTGAAACCTGGATAATAAGCTAATATTACCAGGGTAGGTTTAAGGTGAGAACAAACTGTTTTTGAATACACAAAAGAGGTTTGAGTTTTCGTACGGCTAAGGCTTTAATAAACCTTAGTATACGCCTTTTTACACTTTTAAACAACATCACAGAAGCCAAGTTAAGATCAATCTTATGGCGTGTTTCGATCATATGTTTGGCAATAGAGGATGATGGATGTTTAATCTCTACTCTTATCGGGTCGTTTGATTCTATTTATTTCTGCAACTATTTTGGTTCATGTTCACGCACCCTAATTTTCAGATCACTATTGCTACTCCCTATGTATGTATGACCACACACACACACACACATTTAAATTGGTAAACGCAGTGGGATGTGACACAATCGTTTCCTTGTCTTTTAGGTTTTCAATGAAGCATGGACCTCGTTATTTATTTGTCAATGACCTACGCTGCACAATACGTTTTGTTGATAACTGATTTAAGCCTTTGTTTCAATAAAAGGCTATTTGAATCACATCTAAATGGTAAGGTGATGTAAACAGGCTTTTTCTCTACCAAGGCTACAGTAGATCTCACTGTGCCATGAACTTTCCATCTATTGATAAATTTAGGTGGATAACCATTCCCCACTAATGCCTTGCTTAACAACTTAACATCATCATTACTATTAATAGAGTCGTTTATGCAAATACGATCAAGCCTGTTAAAAAGGCACTTTATCAAACCCCGTTTTAATCGCTGAGATTATTTCAAATATAATTTTCACAAATAAATCATCAAAAACTCTTTAGACTAATCATAACATAATAATTGACTTGCTTCTTTACCCAGTAATTGATTCTTCGTATCATTATTATTATCATTATCATCATTTGAATATGTACCAATTATTGTAGCTGCTTTCAATTCAGCAAACATTTGATCTATTTGTGAACTTTTCTTAAAAATTTCTAAATTATCAATTAGTTGTTCCGTAGAATTCATTGAAGAATGATGATGGTGATGATGATGATGATCAGCAGCATTTTTATCTAAACGACAATATTGATGTTCAAGATTACTGTTATGATCATCAATGCCATTCTTGTGATTAATGGTTTCATGGTTCTTAATCCATAGATTATTCTTATCACTGTTGATAGATGTGTTGCTAGTTATTTGACTTTGTTCCTGTTCATCTTCTGAGTGTAGAGGAATTACTTTGGTATTATTGATGATATTATTATTATCATTATCATGATATGAATTCGACATAGTACCTTTGATATTGGTATGAGTAGTTGTATTTGTACATGTAGAAGGAATCCATTCAATATACGGATCGGATACTTCATATCTCTATATTTGGTTTAAATAATAAAATAAAGAGAAGTTATCTGAGAAATTATGATAAAACTGTCAAATAGAATGTTTCTTTCGAGTTTACTATTTAACTTGAATGTATTTGGGAAATCAAGAAGTTAGGAGTCACTTGAGTGATCTTGATTACTACATAATGTACCGAAATGATGTAAATTATAAATAAAAACATATCTATAAACTGTAAGAAAAGATGGATAGTGGTTAGCAGTGGAATCCAGAACGCGTGTCTTGTCCTATCTGGGACTCGTCAACTGGATGTATCTGCATCTAAGGGTTGACGTTCACTCTGGGACTCGAACCCAGTACCTTTCGTTTCAAACGCCATCGCGTTATCCACTCGGCCACTGACCCCTGACAGTCATTTGCTAAGGTACTGGTACTGGGTTCGAGTCCCAGAGTGAACATCAACTCTGACATGCAGGTACATCCAGCTGACGAGTCTTAAATAGAACGAAACGCGCGTCCTGGATTCCACTGTTAGCCACTATCCATCTTTGCTTACAATGCTTGTGAATTAAGGCTATATCGAGGCAATACTCACAGTATGTACATACGCCAATAAGAGAATGACCAGTTGCAGTTCTAAACATCAACGAGAAGATTCAAACAAGTAATACTAATTGAATATCTATAAACTGTTGATATATTCCATTCCATGCATAGTTATAGATGACGGACATAGATCTTAGAGTGATTATCTTCTCTCCCAAAGTTACTTGTAACAGTAGTAGGATGTGTGTATAGGCCATCATGAATGAATTGATTATTTATCTGGTTAAGTTTATTCGCTTGCATGCTAAAAATACGATTAGCTTATAATGCCATTAAAAGATCAGAAGTCGGACGAAGTTGACAGAAAATTTTAGGCTTAAGTTTTATGTTATTTAATATTTCAGATGGGGTTTTTTGTGGAGAATTTAGTATTTTCATAGTTGAAATCATGAGTCAATTGAAGCTAGACCACCAGGGAAAACCTGGAAGCACTGGACGGCCGTTTCGTCCTATTATGGGACTCCTCAGCAGAGCGCATCGACTTATTTATATATTTATCAATAAGGGATACCTACAATTTTGAGGGAATTGATGCTTCTTGTATAAACTAAACCCTGATCGTTCAGCTTCACAGTCGTCACCATTGATTTTTTACGGTAGCTGCCGACCTCCTGTAGAACTGAGATATTTATGTAATTGGTTGATCAGTGAGTAGTAGAGCACTGTCATGCTTATCCAGTTTTTTGATGGTGAGCGAATCCTATCAAATAAGTTTCAAAGGAGCCACTATTCCAAATGAATTATTACCATGGATATCATGTTCCCAAATTACACACTATTCTAGATTAGCGGAACTACATATAAGTTTGAATTCACTAAATATACAAATCAAATGCGTTATGTGACTCACTGTTATGAGATTTTCAGTCAGTAATTACAATACTAAGTGAAGGACTTTTCTTTCAGTTCACGTTGGTAGTAACCGGTTAAGAATATCCCAATTTATCTAGTTTATGTGAATAAATGTAAGATGTGAGAATAACCATTTTCTTTTCAATGTTCATTTTTCTCGCGTTCAAAGATCATGTTTTGTTGATATATGTATACAGAGTTGTTCTACTTCAATCGTGTCTTCATTGAATATCAACCTTTTTCCGCATATCTATCGTTTTCTTGGGTTCCATCTTATGAGGATTATTATTAAAGCATTGAGTATATCTTTCTCTGTATGTCAGTTATTATATTATTGAATTCAAGTTTGTTCTCATTTGTATTATAATAATCTACATTGTTTGTAATAAGAAATTATCACAAACCCGTTCGAATCAATCCTAAGATATAACCTCAGACAATGAAATTAGATCTAGTATAATTCAAACGAAATATGATTGTATCGTACGGCTGCCTGTTTGAACATCTGAGCAACCTTTCCCTGCCATCTAGATATTTCAACAGCTTATCTAATTTTGTTTGTTTTAATTAATTAATTATTTATGTAAACACATACATATTGGTACAAAGGGGCACCAGATACGTATGCGCCGCACGCTGTTGCATAAGTTGAAAAGTAAGGATACACAAATTGGGAATAAAAGGAAGTGAATAAGCGACATGGTAAATAATAATAATAGTGTAAATTGTCTGGCATTTAGTAAGAGCATGAATAGGATTGTCAGTAGAAATCATCATTTCATTTATTTGTGTGAGGGCTGTGATACTGCCCAGGTGCCAAAACTGAAGCAGGTGGTTTCCTTAGGGGGCCACACCCGGAGGCTTTGACCTAAAGGTCGAACCTACAAGGCAGTGGAGCATCGTAAGGAGATGCATTCCCATGATAGCCGGTGACCAACGATTGATTTATGTGCCATTTGTTCCCTCAGGATACTAGAGTCAGCCCATGTGCACCATTGGTTTGGAATCAGGGTTTTCCAACTCCCCTAGGTGGACTCACCGTGTCCACCAACCTGGTTAAAGCGCCGGACATTGGCTTTTCATTCTCTCAATTTCGTAGACAGCAGTAATGCCACGAGAAGGCAGTGAGTAGGACTTCTGTGGCAGAGGCTGTATATGCGTGCCCGTTTGAGAGCATTTGGAGAGGGAGAGCGGACTCACCCCACTCTCGGTCGTACCAGGGCATTTGGGAGATGTTTGTTTTAATACATCATTATGGCTATTAATCGTATAACCCATTCAGGTGCGTTTCTGAAAGGTGTACAAATTTTTGTTTTACAAGTTACAAAGGCGCAATTAGAAATATTGTCTTTTCTGGCAATATGCAGTGAAAAGAGTGTACAATATTTAAATGTCTAGACTGCTAACTTCTAACTGGCGTCCACCTAATATTTGTCATCAGGATCGATCAAGAAGTAAGACATGGAAACTTTTTGAAATACATTATGTAATGATATAAAAATGAATTAAAAAGAACTTACATTTTGTATGATTTTTCGATTATCCATTAACTTTTCATTAATTTTCTGTGGACTCTGTGAACTTTCTGTTTGTACAGCACGTGTTTTAGCTATTGTTTTCCATTGAATATGTCCTTTTACATGTTTATTATTACATTGTTCATGATTGTGTACAATAGGTTTATGTTTAAATGAATGTTTAGTATGATTCATACATTTTTCTATTTTATTTAATTGTTTATTCTTTTTGATACTACTTATTTCATTGCAATAAGTAGACGAATGCTTTTTATTGACATTTTCTAATATATCTTGAATTTGTTTCTCTCCTTGATTAAAATCATTTTCTTCTTCTGTAATACGACTAATAAGAGAGCATAATTCTTCAAATGTATCTTGTAGAATGGTAAGTTCTTCATTGGATGCATTAGATTTATTCCTAGAATTATTGAATTTAGTATGGAAAGTTTTAAACAGATTACGAAATGAAGACATTATAAAAAATTCTCAATTTCAGCAAATGAAAGATTAATCTCACCTGATTAGATTGTCTTAATCAAAGATTGTTATTTAATAAACTACTGAAAACCAAAGGAGAGCTGAGTCAATGTTTCGTACTATGCTTAAAACTCATCAACAATATCCATCTATGATCTTATAGAAATGTTATAATTTAAAATCGGTAGTTAGTAGAATACCACATAGTAATTCAGTTGGATTTCAATGGTTCATAACTCTGAATTTAGTCAAATCGTGATTTTAAGCGACGACCAACTGATGACATTGGTGGTTACTATCTTTTAGGAACACAATTGAACTTCACCAATAACGGTCTCCTACTACAACTTCAAAATCCTATCTTGAAGTTAGTCAATAATGACTACATAATTAGAAAGTAGTGGTTAAAGGCAGTTGACATGAGACACTGGACCTAAGTTCCGTGCCATTTTGCACTCGTCAGTATTGTGTATCTGTAGTCTTCAGAGAACTGACGTTTCCTAAAGGATTCGATTCTATGTCATTCAGCTTCACAGTTAGGGCCATTATCATTCAGCTATTCTGGATGTGATTTATCTCCTGAACAACTCAGATACTTTTACAATTGATTAGCCACATTACTATTTGATTAATGGAATTTGATCAGCTTTAGGAAGTACTTGACATACATGCCATTAGATCACTACTCAGTTATCAGTCAGTTGTAAATGAATAAGTAATTATTTGTTAGTTATTTGATTTAGGGTTACAAATAAGAAGGAAACAGTTATCAAGTAAACATTGGAACTTGGTGACCTCCTCAAAGTACAGACCTTTTATTTTACAACTATGGAAACGCTGATATTAATCCGCCTTTTTCAGATTTCGTTGAGCCTCAAAACAATAAATAAAGGTGAGGATTCAGGATTTGGAGTCTGTTTAGAGTCAGGAGTAAAGGTTAAGAGCCAGCTTTTTAGAGTGTTTGGCATGGAAATATTAATTTTGATGTAGGTTTGTTCGCTGAGCTGGACGGTTTGGTCGTGGAGCTTCCATACGATACATGTTTTTCTTTACTGAGTTTCAAATTTTAGGCAGTAGTCTATAGCAGCTATCTTAACTGTGATTGGCTGTGTTAGGATTGTCGCTATGGTATAGTTTTACTTATACATCTCATTTTAGAAGTATCCCGTGCTAACGACCTTTTGAGAATTATCACCCAATGAGGAAATGCTAATTAACAATAAAAAGCAATGAAATAACAGTGGAATAATAGGTTTGATTGGAATAATTAACCGTTCCATCTCAAACTGTCCGTTAATCTAATGAAGAGAGGTTAAGTTTACATATTAGGAGTTGAGTGGGTGTTGTGAGTTAGAGTGCTAACCAGTTATCAATCCATAGAGTTTTCATCATCAACTGACATCATTTATAATGCAATGCTTTGTCACTATCTTCATAGGTTTTGTTATCTCCATTTACCGTTTCATTCAAGTTAGATATCATTTTTCGTTAACTTCTAGCCTTGTGATTGATTGACTTCTTCTGTACGAATTCATAGATGTGCCTGTTGATCATTAATTAATCTAAATCCCGTGCTTTTAAAAATTCTTTAATATTCCTGGAGTTTCTTCAATCCAACGTTTTGACGTTTTTTCCAATTGAATTGGTGTCCATAGTTATCACTGATGAAAGATCACGTCGTCTAACTCCCAATCTGAGTTCATTTATCTATATAGATAATCTGATGTGAAATGTTGAGAAAATTCTGACAATAATTTAGAGTCTTTCAAGATACTGCTGATATCCTACATAATGTTATGGTTTTAAAGTTAATGGTTTTATCAGTTCAATGTCTCACACAAATTAAATCTATATATCTATTAAAAACATACTTGGAATTTTGAAGAGTTTCAATCATATTTGTCAAACGACAAATGAAATTTCTCAATTGGTATATTGAATCTTGATCAATTTTCAATAGATGCTTGGATTCATTCACTTGTTGAACAAACTAAAAATTAATATTAGAACGAAGTGAGAAAAGAATCAGAATCAGTTCATGTTGAATAATTCATCATAAAAAGTTGATGATTTTGAAAAAAAAATATTCATGTGCCTACAAGTGACTAATTTTAATTGGTTATTCCTGGAGTTCTAATAAGGAGCCAGTGGAGTTCAACCATACTGAGTGTGAGATAGTTACCCTCCAATAAAATTGAAAGATCGTTTCAAAATATCGCAAACTGGATTAAGCTAAAAGTGTTGAAAAATATGATGTCAACTAAGTGGCCTAAATGTTAAGTGCTTTCCATGAAACCTGAAGGTCCTGAGGTTGGATCTCCTTTGGTTATCTAACTAAGGTCAGATCATGATATAAAATATTCAAAGAAACAACTTTTATGAATCATTTATACTGAAATGGCAATAACACATTTCATATTGTCTGTTTTAATCTTACCATTGATGTTTTGGACTGAACTTGATCAGTCTCTTATTGGCGTGTGCCCCCTGTGCGGATCGCCTCGATATTGTCGGCACAAGTATTATAAGTAAGGATGGATGGTGGTTAGCATTGGAGTCCAGGACGCACGTCTCATTCTATTTGGAAATCGTCCTTAGTTAGATATACCTGCATCCCAGAGTTGATGTTCACTCCAGAAATTGAATACAGTACCGTTCGTTTGAAATGCCGTCGCGTTATCCACTTAGCTACTGAGTCAACTCTAGGATGAAGGTGCATCCAACTAACGACGAGTCCCAAATACAACGAAACTCTCGTCCTGAACCCCACTTACAGTTCGTGACCTAGTACACGTATCTGTGCTTTGTTAATGAATCATTCTAAACTGAAGAGAAAAATTTAGTATTAGTCACTGCCATCCATATATAAACTAACTTTAATATTTTAGCAATTCAAAGAATAAATTTTCAGTGAATCTCGTTACAGATATTTATTGACTTGTCTGGCGATTCAATGTGTGTTGTTATAGTGATAAAGACAACAAAAGTATGAAACATACATACATACATACCTGGCGATTTTTCAATAACCGATCAGATTTTCGGTTTTCCGTTTGTAAATCTTTTTCAAGTTGTGATACTTTCGTCTAGTATGTAAAAATAAAAGATATTGCAATAATAATAACAATAATAATAATGAACTCGGTAATGTGCTCGCCTATCAAGATAACTGAATGTTCAGAGTTCTATCTCTGATAAAAGTAGTGGACAGGTACACGGTGCTGGGGGTCTTAAGCTAAAACAGATAAGTTTAGTAAAACAAGGTAGTCAGTTATCTGGAACACCACACTAAAGAAAGTCCGGAATTGTGCAAAATCAAATGAATATTTTATGAGAAGTTGTGTGATACAAATCTATGGTTTATGGTTCCTAAGTACAATATAGAGATAAAGTGCTGTTTTCTGTAAGACCTTAAGATTTAATTTGAGAATAGTTGGTTAGTCATAGTTACCATAGAGCCAAGCAGACAGACACACTGGTTCAAGTTGCCAAAAGAGATTGAAATAATTTGTGGAAGCAATGATAATGAGAAAGACTGAACATTAAAAATACAGTTTTAGAAGATAGACTATAAAGGCATATATGAAGGAGAACAAGTGTTGAAAATAAAGGATGAATACATCTACGCCAGTGTGAACGAATCTGAGTCCTACCACACAACATCTCCAACTACTGATCACAGTTATCGCTCAGAATCAAATCAAACAGTCTGGATCTATTAAGATGGATTAATTAAATTAACAGTTATTAGCATTCTGCATTGATTTTATATTTTGACTTGGCTGTTCTTCAATTTCTCTCAACCTAAGATCTATTTTAAGTAGTTATGAGACATTCCATGAAACGATCGTATAACTAAGTTGTTTAACATTTCATGATTTAAATGTGTTGATATATGACATGAACTACTATGGAACTCTTCAATACATTACTTACATGCTTACACCTGCTACGCCTCGTGGAGAAGAATAGGCCGCTTACCAGTATTCTCCATTCAACTCTGTCTTAAAGATTATGTTTTGTAGTTATGTAAAAGAACGAAATGGACTGTTGCACGGTATATTTATTCATTGGTTAGAAGACAGACATTTCGCCTACGCCAGAACTTGACAAATCCACGGCAGCTTTCTGGATCCATTTTGATTTGAGCGATCATTATTTTATCAATACTTCGCATACACTTATAAACGGTGGCTTTAGGTTGAGCACATAAATCACTACGGTATAACATCATAGTTAAATACCTAATTATTAATATATGAACACATATATACCGTATATTATAAAAAACCTCTTCAACGTTAAACATTCAGCATACTCATTCATAATATTGTCCAATATTTCGCTTCGTCGTCGTTTGCTTTAATTGTTTGTATTTACTTTGTATAATGCGAATGCAAAATAAAAAACGGAGACTAAGCCTTAAAGGGAGGGAGTGACTTGAACAAGCCAACAACCTCCGAGAACAAAAAAGGAAATAATGTTATTATAGTCCATCAGTACCCAATAACATGTGTTTGCGTATCACTTTACTCTTTGCTTTATCGATTGTTCAAGAATGGAATTAGAAGTTTGGTGAGACTATAATTTATGAATAAACCGACCAGATTTGAATTCGCCTGTAGCTCTTCTAAGGTTACTGTCTGTCTCAAACCCGGGTAAAGGAGGAGAGTTGGGCATGGAGTCAGCAACTCCATCCCGTAGAAAACAACCTTCTTATAAAAAAAACGCTAAACAGAACAAACAAATTAAACCATTCGATGCATAATACAAAATACCAATTAATCTAACTACAAGGAAAATTCCATGAAATATTAAACTACCATAAGGTGTTTTAATTTATGCTGAAAATTCATTCCTGATAATTCTGGGGAACTTATCCTGGAATTGATCTTTGAACATGATTTTTGTCGGTTATGTCCAAGATGTTGTTGTTGTGTTTGTGGTTGATGATAATGATGATGATGTTGGCAATGACATCCATCAACAACAACCCTATTCAAGGTCTTTGCACATGGAAGAATAACAGATTTATTGACATTGTGATTTATATTATTGACATTTGATGATTGTTTATTGACAAGATTATAATCCAAATGTAGAGCACGTGATTCAAGACATGTTTTACCTGGACATTGAAAATTTGGATAACCTCTATGATTAAGAAGAAAAAAAAACAGGATAATGAATGGTAGATAATAACGTTCGTATTTCGGTAACGGTGGATTGGGCACACCTTGAGGAAATCAGCTAATTGCGTCACAAGACAAGCCCACACATGGAATCCTGAAGGTCAAAGGAGAAGAGGAAGACCAAAGAACACATTACGCCGAGAAATAGAGACAGACATGAGAAGAATGAACAAGAAATGGATAGAACTAGAAAAGGAAGGCCAGGACAGAGTGGGTTGGAGAATGCTGGTCGGCGGCCTATGCTCCATTGGGAGTAACAGGCGTAAGTAAGTAAGTAAAGCAACGTTACCGTGAAATCATAAGTGACTTTCTATAGGATTGGAGAGAAATAACTATTTTTCTCAATGATTGAAAGTAGGTAGTATGTTTTTTAATCTGATTTAATTAATATTGAACATTGGTGTTTCAAATGAAAACCAGATTTCATATTTATCTAGCCTCTATGAATAAGGATGAAATAAATTTGTCAGTGAATTTTTTTTCAAAATTAGAAGACTGAACTAAGTGAATCAACATTTCAGGGCGTAATATAACTACATACAATCGTTTCTGTTTGGTAATTGGAAATGCTCAAGCCCACTGGTACATGCACACCAGAAATGTATAGCTTACCGAAACTGCATAAGCCTGGAACACCTATGAGACCAATTTTTTCCATGATAAATTCACCATACCATAAGCTAGCAAAGTGGTTGAAAGGAATTTTGGATTCTGTTTGTAAACAACTGTCGACATATACTGTCATTGATTCTTTTGAACTTCTCCCAACCTTGGAACACTTGAATATTTCTAATAGTCGGATGTGTTCTTTCGATGTAAACTCTTTGTTCACAAATGTACCTCTCGAAGAAACTGTGGAATTTATTTGTGATTTCATAACTTCACACAACATAAGAATACCCATTCCTACTACCTATCTTCGAGATCTAATTTTGCTGTACACAAAGAATATAAAATTCTATTTCCAAGGTAAAGCATATATGCAAATCGATGGAGTGGCTATGGGAAGCCCTCTCGAACCTGTTTTAGCAAACATATTCATGGGAATGATAGAAAGGCAAGTGAGTCACTTCATTGATGGTATTACACTTTACAAACGATATGTCGACGATATTCTTGTCATATTACCACAGTCTACAGATATTAATCAAGTCAATGATTTATTTAATGCAATTCACCCGAATCTGAAAGTCACTTATGAGGAAGAAAACAATAATGAACTAGCTTTCCTCGACATCCTGCTCCATCGCCGTCCAGACGGATCGATCAGACGCAGAGTACATCGCAAACCCACCTGGTCGGGACAGTACCTCCACTTCACTAGTTTCTGCCCCATACAATATAAACGTTCTATTGTCAAAACTTTATTCGCTCTGGCAAGTAGAATCTGCACTGTAGATACATTGGACGACGAATTTAAGTTTATTACTGAGACACTTAAATTAAACGGATATCCTGAAACGTTTATTGGTCATCAGAACACAAATACGACGAAACTGATAGCAACGGATGTGCCCAAGAAACCAGTATATCTACAGTTACCTTTCAAGGGTGATCATTGCATGAAAATTACAACCAAACAGACTGCAGCTGCAATAAAAAAGACCTTCAATGCAGCTAATCTGAGGCTTATCACAACAACTCAATCGATCTCAGTTAACCCTATCAAGTCTCCAGGACCGATTCAGTCCAAATCCCACTGTATTTACCAATTCACATGTAACTGCGGAGAAAGTTACTTAGGTAGGACAGATCGCCGATTGGAGGACAGGATAGGGGAACATATTCCAAGATGGTTAATCAAATCCATGATTCATCCACCTAGCCCGTTATCTCAAGATCGGTCAAGAAACCCAGCCTCGTCCATTGCAAAACATCTAATGATGAGTGGTCATCAAATTGACCCAAAATTAGCCTTTAGAGTTGTGACATGTCATCAAAACCCACACACACTCAAACTACTTGAAGCTATCTTGATTGGTCGGAAAAGTCCAACTTTATGTGTTCAAAAAACAACTGTATGTTGACCTTTGTTTACCATTGTTCTAGTGAATGAATGTCATGCTAAATAAGAAATTTTGACCTTATCTTCAAAACTGTATTTACACGAATAACATGTTGCTTGTATGTGACTGACGAGAAAGCCCGAAATGGTACTATCTCACAAAATTTGTCTTCTCATTTCTCTGTTCAAATTTATCAAAGGGAACCACTGTTTTGAATTGGAAATAGACGGTAGGAAACCCTAGACGTAGATTACTTGGTAGTTGGCACCTACCAAGTAAATAACATAAGTGATTGCAATAAAATAAGGGTCAATCAATTTGAAACCTGGATTTATGGGTTTTTATGCCGTCTGTTGACCGGGTACCATCAGCAGCAGCTTAATATGGGAGAAAACAAACCGACTTCCAGTTGAAGAGGAAATTAAGAAAAGAGGTTGATACGACATACATTGTGGAAACCATCAAACTACATCACGAGACGCGCACCAACTTGGTATTCTGGAGGGAGACAAAAAAGAGGAACACCAAAGAACGCACTGCGTCGAAAATTTGAAGCAGACATGAAAAGGATCATTATCAACTGGAAAGGATTGCCCAGGACAGAGTTCTATGGAGAGTACTGGTGGGCAGCCTATGCTCCCGCAATAGGGGTGACAGGCGTAAGTAAGTAAGTACTTCAAACTATTTAACATCAAAACGTACTGTACGCGACGTCAAGTCACTTAGACACTGGCAACTACATTGAAAATCGATCATTAGAATTTGATTAGAACTAGAAACTGAATAAACATGATATTGACCCCAACTCAGTGACTAGTCAAATTGGGTACTTTTTTTCACAACTAAGTTATACGATTTTCCATAGGTAGATGTTAAAAAGCAGTGATCACTATGAAATTTTTCATGACTGATATTAAATCTTAACATTTGAAGCATGGGTCTCATTATTTTACATATTAAGAGGTTTCTGAAAAATTGTTTCTGTCTGCAGCATATATTCCATGTCAAAGATTGACATGATATTAATGTATTATGGTTTTCTTGAAATTCATTAGTCACAATATTGATAAGTGTAACAGAACAGTCTTCTCCTATTCAGCTTTAACTTCCCCTCATCCCTGTCTCTCTCCGCCTCCAAGATTGTTAAGATCTTCCTTTTGTTATGTTGATATAAGTTGTAGAGTAACTTGGACTAAGACACAGGTTCTTACTATGTTATCTATGGTTGACTGATTGATGGTTATTTATGGTATATTCAAAATATTTAAAAAAATGAATAAATACATGAATCTTACCGAGAGCGTGATGCTCTTGCAGCAGTCCTCCACGGTATTCCTCCACTAAAACTTGTTCGACTTGATAATGGAGTAGTTGGTCGACTATAATATACTTTCTGAATAGTTTTAGCCACACCAGGTGGTTTCCATACTGCTCGTTCACTTAGAGGCTGCCCAGAATCGGAACAATGTAAATGACGAGTATGCTTTTTATGTAAGTCTACATTACATTTATGATGTGTTCTATGATCTAGATAATGTGCAGGATCCGCACTACGACATCTTGGTCGACCACCAGCAGGCTAAAAAAAACAGATTGAGGAGAAAGTAGAAATAGATATTCATCATAACAAATTTTACACAATAAAACTAAATGAACCAACATCCTTGTAATGTTTAACACTGGATTTTGAACAACAGATTCATTGTTTCTAGCTCTGAAGCGTTATCTTCTAAGCTAATGGATTACGATATGTGTTAACTTATTTAACAAGTGTGCTATATTCTAGGTGTTAATCGTCACAATTTGATCTCCTTCTGAGTGCCATTAAAAATCAGGAAGCACAGGACAGCTATCTGTTTCGTCCTGTAATGTAACTATCCAGTAGTGAGTACCGATCTCCATGACAGGGATCAAACCCTGAACTCTCTATGAAATTTGGCGACCTGTTTGAATATCTAGGCTACCTATTCGTGATATCAACATATCTCAACAAGTTACCTGTCTTTTGTTTGTTTTAACACATCATTATATCGATTAATTCCATAACCTATTTAAGCGCGTCTATGAAAAGTTTACGATCTTTCACCATATAACTTACAAAAAATTACAATCAGAGACATTGTAATGGATGTCAGTATTCATTGAAAAGAATAATCCTTATTCAGATGTTGATTGCTGAACTGCTAACATTTAACTGGTGATCACTCAATACTTATTGTCAGGATAGATGAATAAAGAAAGAAAACTTATTGAAATACTTTGTGCTGAGAATTCTATATTGTACCAAAGATATAATATTGAATGAAGCCATTAATAATAGTTATAATAACCTTCAGATTTCACAGCTAACTCTTAACCTTTAGAAACAGTGGGTCACCCATATTGTAAGTTTCTTGACTTTGAAATCTTATTATATATAGTTGAAATCATGAGTCAATTGAAGCTGAACCATCATGGAAAACCTGGAAGCACTGGACGGCCGTTTCGTCCTATTATGGGACTCCTCAGCAGTGCGCATCCACGATCCCGCCTCGCGAGATTAACATTAACACCGTTGGATGCTGGCCGGCTCAGTGGTCTATCGGTTAAGTGCTCTGGAGCGAGACTGGTAGGTCCTGGGTTCGAATCTCGCGAGTGCGTAATCATGGATGCGCACTGCTGAGTAGTCCCATAATAGGACGAAATGGTCGTCCAGTGCTTGCAGGTTTTCCATGATGGTTCAGCTTCAATTGACTCATTACTTCAACTATGAAAATACTGAAATATCCACAAAACCCCTTCTAAAAGTAATTAATTTCAAATCTCAATAATGAATAATGGCATATTGTGAAGATGATTAAAAAATAGATAACTTTCTTGAAAAAAAATAAATCAATGATAAACGAAACCATCTTTCTCCCAAAAGAATTATGTGCTTACATCTTTTTTTTGGGGGGGGGTGGAGGGAAAAATAATAAATAGGCTGATTATATAAATAATGAACTTTTGATTTGATTTAGTATCCATCCCTAATTACTTGTATATACTAATCAGTCTTTCATATTGACATTGAACTATCTCTGCTCATCTGCTTCATTTATTCATAGATGTGTTTAGATTGAGAATCATGTAAGATATTTAACTGTTAATGCATGTTACTATGTACATTTGTGTTCGTATGTCATTGTTACTTACTTACTTACTTACTTTCGCCTGTTACTCCCAATGGAGCATAGGCCGCCGACCAGCATTCTCCAACCCACTCTGTCCTGGCCTTCCTTTTCTAGTTCTATCCATTTCTTGTTCATTCTTCTCATGTCTGTCTCTATTTCTCGGCGTAATGTGTTCTTTGGTCTTCCTCTTCTCCGTTGACCTTCAGGATTCCATGTGTGGGCTTGTCTTGTGACGCAATTAGCTGATTTCCTCAAGGTGTGCCCAATCCACTTCCAGCGCTTTTTCCTGATTTCTTCCTCCGCTGGAATCTGGTTTGTTGTCTCCCACAGTAACTTATTGCTGATAGTGTCTGGCCATCTGATCCGAAGTATCTTGCGTAGACAGCTGTTAATAAACACTTGTATCTTCTGGATAATGGCTTTCGTAGTTCTCCACGTCTCCGCCCCATACAGTAGAACTGTCTTGACATTTGTATTTAAAAATCGGACTTTGGTGTTGGTTGACAATTGTTTTGAGCTCCAGATGCTTTTCAGTTGTAGGTATGCTGCTCTTGTCTTTCAGATCGTTGTCCTCACATCTGCATCTGATCCACCGTGTTCATCAATGATGCTGCCCAGATATGTAAAGGTTTCCACATCCTCCAAAGCTTCTCCGTCAAGTGTAATTTGATTGGTGCATATTGTATTGTATCGAAGAGTCTTGCTTTTCTCTTTGTTTATATTGAGACCTACTGCTGCTGAGACTGCTGCTACACTGGTCGTTTTCTCCTGCATTTGTTGTTGCGTTTGTGATAGAAGAGCCAGATCATCCGCGAAGTCTAGATCGTCAAGTTGCATCCTGCCTGTCCACTGTATCCCGTAATTTCCTTCAGATGTTGACGTCTTCATGATCCTGTCGATGACCAGGAGTGCACACGAAAACAATAAAACAAAAGTATACTATTTTCATAGTTGAAAGCGTTAGTCAATTGAAGCTAGACCACCAGGGAAAACCTGAGAGCACTGGACGGTCGTTTCATCTTATTGTAGGACTCCTCAGAAGTGAGCTTCTTTGACTCACGATTACAACTATGAAAATCTCCGCAAAACTCCCCTTCTGATAACAATATACTATTGACGATACAGGTGTGTATGTTTGTATATATATGTGTGTGCTTGTGCATTGACTGGTATTCACTCAATCTCTCTCTTCATTTTATGTTCGTTGAGGTTTGCACACACACAAATGCATAGCACACAGACAGATATACACGTACCTATACACATTCAATTGAAGACATTGGATCTTTGAGAGAGTATGGAATGATGAAATGACAGTCAAGTTTTTTTATCAAAAATTAAACTAAACTCAATGAAATATTCATTACGACAAGGAAGTACGTAACAGCCATTTTAAAGAAGAAGAAGAAGAAGAAGAAGAAGAAGAAGAAGAAGAAGAAGAAGAAGAAGAAGAAGAGAATATTGATAATAGGAGATGAATCAAGTTGATTATTTTTCTTTACCGTCAGTTTTATCAGTTTTTTTTTTGTTTTTAGTAATTAGACATTTATCCCTCAGAGAGAAAATGAGAGAGAATATTTTTGTTGTTCATCATTTGAATTTTATTGTTAAGGTTGAAAAGTTTTTATCAAAAGATTAATTTTCATTTGATTAATGAGGTGATTGTAATCATGGAATGACGTAAACTGGAGAAGTCTTTGGAAGGAAAAAAAACACTCCAATAAGTCTACTTAAATGATTTTTTCATATAGTTTTGAATAGCTCAGTAATTTACTTACTTACTTACACCTGTTACTCTCAATGGAACATAGGCCGCCGACCAGCATTCTCCAACCCATTCTGTCCTGGGCCTTCCTTTCTAGTTCTATCCAGTTTCTGTTCATTCTTCTCATATCTGTCTCCATTTCTCGGAGTAATGTGTCCTTTGGTCTTCCTCTTCTCCTTTGACCTTCAGGATTCCATGTGAGGGCTTGTCATGCAACACAGTTGGGTGATTTCCTTAAAGTATGTCCTATCCACTTCCAGCGCTTTTTCCTGATTTCTTCCTCCGCTGGAATCTGGTTTGTTGTCTCCCATAGTAGGTTGTTGCTAATAGTGTCTGGCCAACGGATCCGAAATATTTTGCGTAGACAATTGATAATAAATAACTGTATCTTCTGGATAATGGCTTTCGTAGATCTCCATGTTTCCGCCCTATACAGTAGAACTGTCTTGACATTTGTATTTAAAAATCGGACTTTGGTGTTGGTTGACAATTGTTTTAAGTTCCAGATGTTCTTCTGTTGTAAATATGCTGCCCTTGCTTTGCCAATCCTCGCCCTCACACCGGTCTTTACCTAGAATGAGTCGATGAGTTATCCTCGATGGACGATTTGGCAGTTTAAACCATTACAGGAGTTCCGTATGATATTGACTTTTTTCTCAGGCACGCCGTAGTGCCTGAGCTCAGCAATAAGGAACTATATATGATGTAATGAGCTACCATTTTGGATTGTCAACTAAGTTTCATAATACAGACGAAGTAATCACAATTCATGGAATAAATTCAAGATTATAGGATGGTGACTATTTCTGGGATTATAAATAATCCCAATGGAGATAATCAATCATTTATAATCTTAATAAATAAATAAATTCATTTTATATTGGTTGTTTAAATCTTCTCATTGATGTTTAAGACTACAATTGATCAGTCTGTTATTGGTATAGATGCATCCTATACGGATTGCCTCTTCCTCTTCAGTGTGAAAACGTTCATTAGTTAAATAAAAACAGTAAAGAAGTAGTAATTGTGGATGCGCACTGCTGAGGAGTCCCATAATAGGACAAAATGGTCGTCCAGTACTTCCACGTTTTCCATGGTGGTTCAGCTTCAATTGATTCATGATTTCAACTATGAAAATACGTAGTGATTGTCAAATATGTCCCGTATCCTCATATATTTTATAATTTTACGTACATATTTTGTACCTACAATCCTTATCTTTATATGGATTATCATTTGTTCTTTGTTCAATTATCCTGAATTAGCATTATCTTATTCAATTTCTTTCTACACTTAGTTGATCTCATTATTGATTAATCCTCAGGGATAACTTAGACTTTGTAAGATCTAGTCAAGGTTACTTCATTTTTTAAATTCTAAATGAATGCATTTCTTATTTTAGACGTCTATTGTTTTTTTGATAATCCAGCTGTTTACCAGATATCTTTGCAATTCTTAAAATAATTTAAGATATCTTATGTTTGGTGAATTCCTTTAATAGTAGTTATAGTTGGTGTTATTGCACATCTTATTTTTTATAATTGTATTTCTAATAAACAACCCAGCTACTCCTATTGCTTAGTATTCTAATACAATGACACTCGACAAGACCCTCAAAATCAGAACACGTTGAACAGGAACAAAATTATGTTCAAAATAACATGGGTAGATGAACAACAATCAATCGTTAGAAAAACATTCATATATATTTATAGTATATGCATAAGAAGCTTCTAGATGCTTCTCTAAAAATCTGCCAGAGTTGATTGATTTAGAATTAGTCAATCAGAGTGCGCCGTCACGATCATGCATATAATGCGCTTTAATCCGGTTTCTTTCCTGATAACATCATTATTTGTGTTGTATCATAATTGTTATATTTTGCACATACCTTGTAACTTTAAACTTTTCTAGTTTAAATTTATTTTAGCAAATAACAATTTCACTGATTTTATTTACAGAGTGATCTTGTTTAGTCTTTAACATCTAGTACAATGTCACAATTACATGGTTTATTCTAGTGTGGTGTTGTCTACTTATATCTATATAAGTAGTATATGGTGTAGGTCAGACATAGAATGTATTTTGACAGAAGACCGATGAAGAAAGAACTGAAATGAAGCGCAATCGTTTGGAAAATGCATGAGCAATGGAATAAGAGAAGAAACAGTGAAGATTGAAACAATTGGTTGTTAATTTGCAAATTGACTGTTCATTGTTTGGTAATCAGAATTTATTGAGATAGTCTGTAATCTTTGCTTACATACATTCGATTGTCCCCAACCGGTATTCTGTTCACTACACTAGCTTTTGGACAGATCTTCTTAAGTTATTATCCTCAATTGTTTTGAACATATCAGTTACTCGTTTTTTAGACTTGATCGTTTTTAAATAAGCGTATGTGTGTTTTTATCACTTACTTTATTTGACAGAAATGTCTTTATTGTTCTGTTTGACCAATAAATAGTTATCATTATTATTATTAGCTTTATTCAATATTATATTATTTGGTACAAAATCAAATTCTCAGCATAAAGTATTTCAACATGTTTACGTTTCTTATTTCTTCGTTGCTCCTGATGATAAACATTCAGTGATCACCAGTTGGATGTCAGCAGTTCAGTCAATCGACGTATGAATAATGTATATTCTTTTTGCTGCATGTTCCCAGCAAATACGACATCTCTGATTAGGCCTTTTGTAACCTTTACAGCGAAAGGTTGTACAGTTTTCAGAAACGCACCGGAATAGGTTGTGTGCTTAATAGCCATAATGATGTATTAAAATAAACAATATTAGATAACTTGTTGAAATATATAGATGACAGGAACAGGTAGCCTAGATGTTTAAGCAGGCCGCCCTCAAAAAAAAATCATGCTTTATCATATTGAGTTGGCTGTTTCTGCCATTCCGTTACTCTTGTGTTTTTTTCTCATCTTTTATCGTTTGTCCGCATTATCAAATATTTGAAGTATATATTCTTCAAATATTTTCGTATTCGTTATCTTATATTTATGTTGTTATAGAAACGAGATACATCAACAGTAAATATATGAAATTTATGGGATATAAATTTCGTTAACAAAAATATTAGTCGAGTATATGAAGTCAAACAGTGATCCATGAAAAGACAACCATTCAAAAATAAGAAACATTTAACAATCTGTTTAATGTTAAGTATAAGACCCAAGGGAAGTAGTCCTTGCTTCTAAATTCAGCCAATAATTTTTCATTCCTTCGTTGTTATTCCGTTAGAGGAAACGTAACTTTCAAGTATAAGACTTCTTAGTCATTCATACATATGAACCTTTGATCAATTCATGATATAGCACGACAATCCTCCAGTTCTTTCTGGTTTTCATTAGTATCTCAGATGAAATCAGTCTTTTATGAATACAACTTGAAATTTAAATTAATCTCCATAAAATTTTCTCAAGAAAAATGTTTTCCTAGAAGGGGTTTTTGTGGAGATTTTGGTAATTTTATACAGTTGAAATCATGAGTCAATTGAAGCTGAACCATCATGGAAAACCTGTAAGCACTGGACGGCCGTTTCATCCTACGGAGGGACTCCTCAGCAGTGAGCATTCAAGATCCTCGTGAGACTGATAGGTCCTGGGTTCGAATCTCGCGAGGCGAGATCGTGGATGTGCACTGCTGAGAAGTCCCGCAATAGGACGAAACGGATGTCCAGTGCCGTAAATAAGAAATAGACTGATTAATTAAAAAATGTTAGAATTGTAAATGAACTTACTATAAACGGTGGTTTATCCGATAAATTATGTTTATGATATATACATACATTCTTATCATCGGAATGAATAATTTTCTCATGATTATACAAAGAATTATTTGATTTTGATCTTGTTCGATAGGAATTTGATGATTTCACAGATCTATTGGATGGATTTATTAGATCAATGCCAGGAATATGATTTGACATATTAGTTAAACCAGGCCATGGATAAGTTGTTACACCAGAGCATAATTGTGATGGAGTTTGTGAGCCAGCTTTTAACCAACTAAACTGTTTAAATTGTGTTAAAGCAACAGATGAAAGTGATTGATATGTTAAAAGTAAACGTTATGAAAACGAATGATTATTCTGAATTGTTAAAGAGATGTCATTAATAATATGATCTAGTTGACGTGATACGTCACAAACAGATTGAAGTCTTATATACATACCACTGAACACTAGGTCAGAAACCTAAAGATCTTAAGTTCGATTACTGGATAGAGCTATCGAGGAGAACTGATGAAGAGTTCTAAACTAGGACAAAAAAAGATGTCCAATGCTGATTAATTTTCTATAGTATCTTGAATGAAATCAATCTGTTAAAAACACAACTTATAAACTAAATCTGTCACCACCAATAAATTGTTCTAACAATTCAAATCAGTTACCATTATCTAAACAATTGTATACTAAGTTTTTCATAATAAGCAAGCATTCAATGTGCTTCTGTTTGTGTCGTTATTTATTTAACCTCCTGGTGTTAACTGTCGATACTGTTTGTCTAATGTTTAGTAGTTAAGAGAAGACTAACTAGATGAAGTACTGGTGTGGTGTGGTCTACTTATATCTATATAAGTAGTATATGGTGTAGGTCAGACATAAAATGTATTTTGGCAGAAGACCGATGAAGAAAGAACTGAAATGAAACGCAAACGTCTGAAAAATTCATGAGCAATAGAATAAGAGAAGAAACAGTGAAGATTGAAACAATTGGTTGTTAATTTGCAAATTGACTGTTCATTGTTTGGTAATCAGAATTTACTGAGATAGTCTGTAATATTTGCTTAAATACATTCGATTGTCCCCAACTAGTGTTCTGTTCACAACATTTGGTGTCGCTGCCAACCGGGAGGAGGAAGGGCGCTGTTCTGCGTACGCCGCTGCGGGTCTGGAGTTGAGGTGCTAGTTGGGGCAGTCTGGTGCGGTGAGGTGGCGTCGAGTGGAGTGTTCTGGCGTGGCGGCGATAGCTGTAGCAGGTGCTGTCGACGGAGAGGAGCAGTGGGACGTGCGGCTGCTGGGCGGGCATCGGATGTAGATGGCTCAGCAGGCCGGTGGAGTACGGATGCTGAACGTCCCAGGTGCCGGGTGGATGCGGATGTTGGTGCCCCGGCAGGTCGACGGAGCTATGGAGGTCAGCGCGCTGCAGACTCGACATTCTGGCGGAGAGTTTGGCACAGACTGCAGTGAAAGAAGATAGTGGCATGGCGAGCAGAACCACTGCATGAACGAATGCTTTAAAGGGGGGACGAGTGTGGTCTACTTATATCTATATAAGTAGTATATGGTGTGGGTCAGACATAAAATGTATTTTGGCAGAAGACCGATGAAGAAAGAACTGAAATGAAACGCAAACGTCTGGAAAATGCATGAGCAATGGAATAAGAGAAAAAACAGTGAAGACTGAAACAATTGGTTGTTAATTTGCAAATTGACTGTTCATTGTTTGGTAATCAGAATTTATTGAGATAGTCTGTAATCTTTGCTTACATACATTCGATTGTCCCCAACCGGTGTTCTGTTCACCACACTGGTATTTCGTTTTGTGTTGTAAATTTGTAGCTGAAATAATCATGATGCTGTTGTTTGCTACAGTTAGTATATTCGGTGAAACGAACGGTAAGTGAAGTCAAAGTGACCACAAGAAAATCCATCTACTAAGTACGGTTCAAACATGGTTATAAATTACTGTGAGAAATTAGAATCGGGAGTTTTCATTAAACAATAAACTCGGAGTATGAGAAATATCATATTAACACAAACAATATGTAAGCTGATTTGTAGTCCAATCTTCAAACTGGTATAAATTGAATATATAACTCAAAAACGTTAAATGTATATTTGAATTTATTTTAAGTGAGATTGTTTTGCAGAGATTAGTGCGTATATTAAGTTGTTGGATTCGGACAGTAGGATACAGTGTATAAATCTTAGTTTCGTGTTACTTGGCGCTCTCTATCAAACTGTCTCTGGAATCTTCAGGGAACTGATATTGTGGTGTGTGCTACTGATGTCGGTAGATACAAGTAGTATGTATCATCAATTAAAAGTGAAATGCATGGAGGCAAAAGGTTAAGAAGATCAAATTAAGGAGAATGAGGACAAAGAATAATTGGTGTGGAAATGAAAAGAACATTGAAGTCTGGGACGATTGACTGATATTTGCAAAAATATCAATTAAGTTTGAGACAATTAATTGACATTTTGCAAATGAAGTATTTACTGTATGGTTCTCAGATTTTACTAAGAGATTCTTTAATTTTGTGCTCAAATATATTCGATTGTCCCCGATTGTGTTCTCATTCACTACAATATTGTCAGGTGAATTCGAACATGGGTTACCCAGTTTCACAGTATGAAAATTTACCACAAAGCTATACGACCAGCTAGTGTTCTGTAGGATTAAGACATTTGAAAATGAATAGGCATTAAATAATCATCAATTACACATTTGTCTAGTCTTTTAATTTAACTTGAATTTCAAATTTTCTTGTCGAATACTTCTAATTCCTTAATATAAAAAAAACAAGGTGCAACCATCACTATCGAATCTATTAAAATAGCGGTCACATTGAAACTTGACCGATAAAATTCGATCAGTATTAAAAAGGATTAGACAGATATGAAATTGGCCACCATTCAGTAATTAAACAATACATTTTTTCAGATTCATCAAGAACTGGAATCATGTGAATAATCGCTTTACAAAAACAATAATAACACAGAAAAACAGTTTTGTCCGAATTCAAATATACAATAAATTTTCAATATGAAGTAATTACACATATGATTATATTTATATGATCTAACTTACTTCAGTTTGTTTACCCTCAGAATTGATAAGTGCCCTTTCTGTTACAGCACGTAATAGATCACGAGCTTAAAATGATTAAAATATGTGAAAAACAAGTTTGAAATAGTGAGACAATACTAATGTACTATATCAGTATGAAATTTTTTAAATGTCAAAAAATAAAATAATTAAAATTGAATTGGCAAATTCGTTTTTACTTACATAGTCTACATCATGAACTAATTCGAGTTAGATAACCACTGAATAGCTCATTTATACCATTGTGGGACTCCTCAGTAGTGGATATTCACTCACTCAACATGGATTGAATCCATAACTTTTAGGTTCCGTAGCAAACACCTTAAGTCTAGACCTTTGAGTTGAAGTTCAAAGGTTTATATGTCTGATTTTAATCAATGAATGATATTGTGCAATTAGTTTGCGATCTCATTCGTGTGTAACTATCTCACAGCCAACATGGCTGAACTCCACTAGTCATGGCTTCTTAGTAAAAGTCCTTATGTATCTCTTGGAATTAGTTACTTGTAGGTAAATGATAGTTATTAGCATACGGAGTTTGTGAAGATCATAAAAATTTATAGTTTACATTATGAACTGATCTTAGTTACACTTATTCGATAACTCTTTATCGAACGAGTTAAGAAAATACTTAGTCGTATTTACCATTAATAAATCGATGAAAAAACAACTGATCAGATGTTAACGTATGAATTTTAAACCAATTAGTAGACTAGATACATATTTAACACATCCAGAAGCATTCTATATCTTATTGATCTTGACAGGTAAACAAAGATACTGATTTGTGACGTCAAATCCCTGACATTTAATGAAGATGTTGCATAGATATGACAACGAGGAACAATCTAGTTTGATTGTAACATAACTTACATAGACATTCATCAGAATTCGAATGAGAAATTTGGCACAAAGCATGCCAAAAATATCGGATATAAAATTACATTTGAAATAAACTCTATGTTTACAATAATTTCCAAGAAGTAGCTCAAATCAGTTTGCTATATAACTCAGTAGATTAGTTATGTAGTATTTGCCTTTTTCCGGGAAGGTATATATAATGCTAGGTACCTAGATCAAACGAGAGGGACGATTCTATATAACGTACGAGATTATCATGCCTTAATAGTAAATTACTCAATTATGTGGGTTGTTTGTGAAGATTTTTAGTAATTTTTTATATATAGATGGAATCATGAGTGTTCGCGTGCAAGACTGATAGGTACTGGGTTGGAATCTCGCGAGGTGGGATCGTGGATGCGCACTACTGAGGAGTCACACATTAGGACGAAACAGCCGTCCAGTGCTTCCAGGTTTTCCATGGTGGTCTAGCTTCAATTGACTCATGATTTCAACTTTAATCATTTATGTGTTAAATCCACTGTAATCAACATAAGTCACCAGCTCTATCAACACAATTATTTTGTTCATGCCTAACAAGGTTAGAAAAACAAATGTGAGTTACACAAACAAATATTTGATCGCATTGACCAACTAATCACAGCCTATCACGGATTAGACAAACCCAGCAACTAATTATATTTGCCAAATTGAAAACTGAGTTTATTCAGTAAATTATTGATTAATCAGAGGTGAGTGTCACTCTAATTTATTTGAAATCTGACTTAGTATTAATTAAACGTAAAAATCAGAAAAAGTTTTGTGGATATTTCAGTATTTTCATAGTTGAAATCATTAGTCAATTGAAGCTAGACCACCATGGAAAACCTGGAAGCACTGGACGGCCGTTTCGTCCTATTATGGGACTCCTGAATGGTGGTGCGCATCCACGATCCCGCCTTGAGAGCCAGATTCGAACCCAGGACCTACCAGTCTCGCTCCAGAGCACTTAACCGTAAAAATCAGTATGTTGAGACAGAGTATTATCATTTTTTATTGGTAAATCCTCATCTGTTAGCGTTGCCTTTTTGGGTGACTTTAATATATGAACGATCTTCAATCGATGCTAAGATGGTCACATACAAGGATCAAAAGACGGTTATTAATCAATGTGAAGAATTAAGATTAAAAGTGAGAATTAGAAGTTGGAGTAAGTTTTGGTTTACATCACGAAATGACATAAATTATAATATTAGAAAGTTAACTAGTCAAATGGATAGATAAATTTCATGCCAAAATCCAAGCTGCACTATTTGAAATCTTATTACTTCGTCCATGAATTATACACTATCATGCTTCCTTCCTTATATCAAACCATATCAGTTTATGTTCAGCAATAACGCTATCAATTTTATGAACTAAATCAAATTGGAAACGAGATCCAGTGTATGATAACTTAATGATCATGTGATCATTGTGAAATCTAAAGATTTTTAGACTCAATCTAAGGCCTATGATTGTGGACGTTTACAGGTTGAATGGTACCAATCTAGTAATAAACTTGTTAAGCTGAAATCGCTCAGTGTCTATAATGATACAAACACATTTCATATCCTATTTTATTATTACTGAACATCTCTTACTCAAACTTCATCTATATACTTCAACTTAGTATTGTTTGTTTGAATCTTCTCATTGATGTTTATAAGACTGCAACTGGTCAGTCTCTTATTGGCATATGTGCATACTGTGCGTATTGCCTCGATATACCTTAATTCACAAGCATGGTTAGGAGAGATGGATAGTGACTAGCAGTGGAATCCAGTTTGACGCACGTTTCGTTCTATTTGGGATTCGTCAGCTGGATGTACCTGCATCTCAGAGTTGATGTTCACTCTGGGACTCGAACCCAGTACCCTCGCTTCAAACGCCATCGCGTTATCCACTCGGCCACTGAGTCCTGATAGCCACTTACTTGTGCGATGAGGTGAAGTTTAAATTCAACTTAGTATTGTTTGTTTGAATCTTCCCATCGAAACGCGCGTCCTAGATTCCACTGCTAGCCACTATTCATCTATATACGTTTTACAAACAAATAAATAAATAAACGTTAACAACAAAATCTCCTAATTATCTGAATCGTTGATTTAGAAAATCAAATAAAAAGTATGGCATTCAAGTGAATTGAATACTGAAGTGCATCATGCCATACTTCTATAAAATGTATCTAAAAAAAAAATAAAATTAGTTGATCAACAACCCAGTAATGGAATCTGTTCATCGTTGTTGTGATTCATTAATTATGCTTCAAGTTTTTGTTTTGTTTTTTATGTGTTATTGTTAAGACTAAAACAAACTTGATTAACAATGAAAATGAAGTATACTTAATGTAAGGATGGTTAAAGGGGATAAAATTATGGATAGCGTTTGAGGAATAGTAGGAAATGGGGTGGACATGAGCTGACAACAGAATCTGTTTTTTGTTTTGTTTTTTTCTTTCAAGTTTATTATAGGAGTGAAAAATAAATTGATGAGGAATAGTCCACAGAAGCTTGAAATGGACTAATTTGTTGAAAACAAAGAAAAAAAGATCAAGTGATGAAATAAAATAGAAGAAGAGGAGACTAGGAAGAAAGGATGGAAAGAGGACTATAGCAATACAAAAAAAAATTAAATAATTCTCAAGTATTTTCACAGTTGAAAGAGTTAGTTAATTGAAGCTAGACCACCATGGAAAACCTGGAAGCACTGGATGGCCGTTTCGTCATATTATGGGATTACTCAGTAGTGAGCATCCACGATCTCGCACTCATGAGATTCCAACCCAGGACCCATCAGCCTCGCTTCGGAGCACTTAACCGATAAACCACTGAGCTGGCATCCAACGTTGTTAATGTCTAACTTCACCTGATCCACGAAGTTTGATCAACCGTTCACCAATTCTCCTCAGTGAGTTCCTGTATCACAACAGACGTAGTTTGAACTTCACTGGTCACTGCTTCTCACTAGAACTCCTGATTTTACCTCTCGAAGTCAGTCACTAGTGAGCATATGATTATTATTATCAAATGGAGTTTTTTGTGGAGATTTAGTATTTTCATAGTTGAGGAGTCCAACAATAAGACGAAACGGCTGTCCAGTGCTTCCAGGTTTTCCATGGTGGTCTAGCTTCAATCGACTTATGCTTTCAACTATAAAAATACTGAAATATCCACAAAAAACCCTTTCTGATAATAATTCTCAAGTAAATAAAAAAGGACATTGATAAGTAATCGGATGAATGTTTTTTTATCAATTCCAAAGATGAAACATTATGTTCTTATTAAAAGAATATAAGTAATATGGTTTAATTTCATTTTTTCCCGTTATTGATTTTATGGATTTCAATTGATCATCGCCTTTTGTTAGATATGTGTACCCTGAGTAGATAGGCTAGATATACCCATTATGACACAAAGTAATATTAAATTTGATGGAATGTGGCTAGAGGTAGAATCCAAGACGCATAATTCATCCTATTTGATACTCCTCGGCTGAATGTACCTGAAGTTTTGAGTTTATTTTCACTCTGAGGCTCGAAATCAGCATTGTTCGTTTCAAACGCCATTGCATTATGCACTTAGTTAGTAAGTCCATAAAGCTTGTCATTTCTGAAACAGGTATGAGATTTAACTGAATATCAAATGTTTTGGATTATCCAGTTATTGACATTTTTATTAAAATTAAGTTGGCATATAGAAAAACGGTACCAGGTTTGAGTTCTGGGATGGGTATCAGCTCTACGATGCAGGTATATCCAACTGATGAGTTCCAAATAGGAGGAAACGCGTATCCTGGATCCCAGTGCTAGCCACATTTCATCTATTCTGTACTAACTTTAGTCATCATGGATATATCGAGGTAATTGGCAAGGGGTTGCTACTCACAAATCAAGACTGATCAATTTTCAGTCGAAAATATCAACAACAGGATAATTCACACCATTTCCAATTGAATATATTTAAGCAAAGTTCGATATTAGCTAGTAGCGGAATTCAGGACACGTGTTTCACCCTATTTGGGACTTGTTATATGGATGTATCGGCTATATTACTGTGTTGATGATCGCATTGAAACTTGAACGTTAAACCTTACAGTTTAAATACCCAATGAGTCCAAATAATCACTAACTCGTAAAATATACTTACGAGTCAAACCTTTACTACTCACAAGTAGTTGGTTATTTTCTTTAAAATTCATATTGCCATCCGTATGGCTATCAAAACGCCAAAGTTATAAGATTAATTATCAACTAGATTAAAAAGAAGGTTCATGAAACTGAAAGCATGAAGTATTACAACAAGGACTAAAAGTAAAAAAACGTAGAGAATACATACATTTACAGTAGGGTAAATAAAGGAATTTTCGAATTTAGTTAAAATAATGACAATCACATACTTACATATATTAGGATTTCGACGTAAATCGAGAACAACTAAAGAATGATTTCCACGATGTTGATCATCTATAGTAGATGATCTATTTGATTTCAAATGTATTTCATCATGTGTCATCGATTGATTCCCATTAGCTATTCGTAATCCAATCAATACAGCTAACCATATACTTGCTGAGCTATCACTTAGATTACATGCTTGTAAATCAATAGCTTTCACCCATAAATCATCAATCAATGCATCAGCTAATTGAATAGAGCCTTCATCACATATTTTTGGATTATCATTCAATGTGATACGTTTTAATCCACCAAGACGATCAAGTTCTGGAAAACGATAACGTAATGATTCTTGCCAAGCGGCATTATGTCTTTGCATTGCTTGATACTAGATACAAAACATAGTTTGAAATAAACAAAATGAGTCACGAGTATATATGTATGCATACAAAGATATCTTACGTGACTATAACTTATGAACGGACGTTGAGTGAAATCAAAGTGAATACAAGAAAATCCATCTACTAAGTAGGGTCTAAACAGGGTTATAAATTACTGTGAGAAATTAGAATCGGGAATTAAAATTACAAGTTAGGGTTAAGAATTACAGTTAGGATTTTCATAATGAACTGATAAAAGTTATATTGTCAAAATACTATTTAGCTATAAGGATGAATGGATTCCCCTCCGAAATTCAACATTATCTTCAATGGAATGGGTTTATCTATAAATTAGTCTCGCAACTGTCAACTAATTTCAAAGTCAGAATCTTCAATACGACCCTCAAGATAGTCCTACTGTACGGAGCTGAAACATAGAGAACTACTACGACCAACATCAAGAAGGTGCAAGTATTTATAAACAGTTGTCTACGCAAAATACTCAACATCCATTGTCCGGATACTATCAGCAACAGCGTTTTATGGGAGAGGACAAGACGGCTTCCAGCTGAAGAGGAAATTAGGAAAAGATGTTGGAAGTGGATAGGACATACATTAAGGAAATCACCAATGTGAATTAGAAGGCAATCCCTAACTTGGAATCCGGAAGGGAAGCGGAAAAGAGGAAGACCAAAGATTACATTACGCCGAGAAATAGAAGCAGATATGAAAAGGATGCGTAGCAACTGGAAAGAACTGGAAAGGAAGGCTCAGGACAGAGTTGGATGGAGAACGCTGGTGAGCGGCCTATGCTCCTCGACGAGGTGTAACAGGCGTAAGTAAGTAAGTATTACAGATTTAACTTAATTATAATGTTTAGCTGCAAATTCTAAAATTTTTCATCTAAAGTTTTACTATATTGAAAATATGTTCATGAGGTGCAACTTGAAATTACAGGTCATTGTTTAGATAAATGTGTAAGTGAACACTGGTTGGGTGTTAAGCGCTACAACAAAGCTTCATTTGTTAGAATGAATATGAATAAAACCACCTTCAAATCCATATCTATTATTATCATATTATCACGTTTTTAGTTTAAAACTTATCTAGTGGTTCATCAGTTTTCTTTGATACTTCAGTGGATAACATTTCATGATGGTAACGATAACCAATTATTCGAACAATGGTTTAATATTTGTGAGAAATGAATCAACTAAAACTGTTTGATATTCTAAAAAGGAAACTCAGATATCATGTATTTGTACCCATCTCAATGTCAAACGGGGGGTAAGACATCCTGAAGTTGGTACATTATTAGTTGAAATTGATTACGGATATCTAGTCAATTGCCATACCCGTATATTATTAATCAATAGAAAGAGAAAAAATGTATAAATATCAGATGGGGTTTTTGTGGATATTATAGTAATTTCAATAGTTGAGATCATGAGTCATGTTCCTCAATTTCATGGATTGGTTGAAGTTAGACATTAACGCTGTTGGATGCCAGATCAGTAAGATAGAGATTAAGCGCTTGCGCGCGAGACTGATAGGTCCTGGGACTCGAACCCAGTACCTTTCGCTTCAAACACCATCGCGTTATCCAGAGTGAACAACAACTCTGAGATGCAGGTACATCCAGCTGACGAATCCCAAATAGGACGAAAAGCGCGTCAAACTGGATTACACTACTAACCACTATCTATCTTTGCTTACAATACTTGTGAAATAAGGCTATATCGAGGCAATACGCACAGTATGCACATATGCCAATAAGAGACTGACCAGTTGCAGTCTTATAAACATCAATGGGAAGATTTAAACAAGTAATACTCAGTGAATTTATTATATTTAACAATATTCTTCTTATTCACATCTATTGTGAAAACTGACAAACTTTTAATTTAGAAAAAAAATTAAAGTTTTCATCTTTTTCTTTATAAATGATAATGACAGAAAAACTGATTAAACTAAATATAAAAAGAAAACGAACGACACTGAAACTGGTTCTTATCTTACTATTCTATCTTTACTTCATTTAATCTATACCACCCCCTTCTCCCCCCCCCTTGAATTGACTGTTATAAATTAAAATAAAGGTGAGTTTTACAAAGTTTACCAGTTTTAATTAGTTTACAAAATCAATGAAATGTAAGAAAATAAGTTGGAAAATTGCAGTGGTTATTCAACCACAGGTTGTACGTGTGTATATGTCTCGAATGGTACGCATATGCTTACTCATAGTTTTCTGATCTTATACACACATAAAAATGTACATTTAGAAATACATACAACATGTATATATATATATATATACACCTGTCCCTAAGCGGATAGGTAACCCTTAAGAGATATGATAGAAATGCAAGAAGCTGATGAATTTTTGTAAATAATCCATTACCATCATCGAAATACTGAAGAAACAATGAAATGAGAAAAAAAACTACTTAGATGGGAATATCCATTCTACTATCGAATGAATGATATGATTTGAGGTGATTAATATTCTGAATTTCCCCTACAAACTAATCTTATTTGAGGGATCATTAGAAACTAAGAAACACAGTAGCTGTTTCATCATAGTTGAAGACTGTTTACATCTTCATCAGTGTTCGCATATAAGATCTCGAGTCTTGCAGTGAGTATGTATGCTTTACATTATTAAACCAATATCAAATAATTAACGAGTCAAATATCGATCAATATCATATAACTGTCTTCCAATACCTTTGGAGGGTAACTACCGACATGACTGAACTCTACTATTCACAGCTTGTTATTCATTAATGAGTAGTTAACAAACCACCACAATATTACTTTGATTGTTTTATCATTGTTCATCAACTTTCTATCTAATTTTGTTCACTAATCAACTGTCAACTTCTTATTTGACTGGGAAAACAAACAAACAAACAAGATAATTGAATAAAAATAGTAACTCATTACGTTGTATGTGCATGGATGTGTGTTTCAATTAAAATTTACCCCGAAATATTGAACTTGAGAATTGTTTGAAGTTACATTTTAACGTAAACTAAATTAATTTACTCAAATTTAATTCCTTTACTTACCTAGTGATTTAATTATTTAATAAGTCAATTTCATTTATAAATTTTGTTTATATAATTTTCGTACAAATTACCTCAGCAACAAAATTTATACATACACACACACATACACGCACACGCACACACATACACACAAAATATGATCAGTTCTAATTAAATTTACTGAATGAATATAGTTAGTGAGTAGAATAAAGAAGAGATAAACGATTAGAAAGGTAAGGAGAAAAGCATCAATGACTACACTGTTTATCATAATGAAATTTACGCTCATTGCATAGATTGTTCTCTATTTTCTTGTCCATAGGATATTTTACTTGATTAAATAAATGGTTGGTTAATTAAATCAATGGTTGCTCAACTTCGTGGATCAGTTGAAGTTAGACATTAACACCGTTGGATGCCAGCTCAGTGGTCTATCGGTTAAGGGCGTCGACTCGAGAATGGTAGGTCCTGGGTTCGAATCTCGCGAGAGCGGGTTCGTGGATGCGCACTGCTGAGGAGTCCCATTGTAGGACAAAACGGCCGTCCAGTGTTTCCAGGTTTTCCATGGTGGTCTAGCTTCAATTGACTCATGATTTCAACTATGAAAATAAATTAATCAATTCATTTTTAAATCTAAACAATGAGGGGAAATCAAAGTGTTTACACAATTCATTTTTGTGTTATTTTTTTGAATCTTTCCTGTCACGTTTAGTACTGCAATTGATCAGTTTCTCTTAAACATTCATGGGGAGATTCAAACAATCAATACAAAGGTGAACTAAACTCTCCTTTATTGTAGAAGTCAGTGGTTATCTAGATTCAGTAGGTAGGTGGATGGTGTTTAGGAGTGAACATCAACTCTGGGATGTAGGTATATCCAACCAACGACTAGTTCCAAATAGGACAAAACACGCGTCCTAGATTCTACTGCTAGCCACCATCCATCTCTGCTTATAATGTTTACGTAATTATTAGTCACTAAATTAGTGTACACCACACCGGTTAGTAGTGACTAAAATAATTCAATAATCTTGTAGATAACAACGCTGGTCATAATTTAAGGCATAAAGCTATAATTATTATTGATTTACAAGTGATTAATCACTGAATGGTTACTAATGTAATACTTTTCTAGTCCTTTGATGCTGTATCAAATTGTCTACTAGTTTTAGTGACTGAACATCAAGTTCACTATATTTAGAAGTTAGATTGTTGAAGATAGTTAATAGGAAACCATGTATTGAGATAAACTTTGTGTGATTTGATATTTATCAACAAGGAAGACCTGTAGTCTTGACGAAAGTAATGAACTCATGTGGATTCAAATTCACATTATCTGGTTTCACAGTCTGATATATTGCCACTTAACTACTCACGCGGAAAATAAGGGACTAGACAAAAATCACATCTGGCACTATTCAGTAATCAATTGACAGTAAACACATCTCAGCACTATAGGACATTAATCGCCGACTAAGTAGGTATGTAGTAACATCTCAGAATGTAAAATTATATGATAAACTTTCAAACCCGGATGATAGTATATGTTCCCTCAAGATTACAGGTACACGTTACTTATGAGTGCCAGGTAACCCGAGACCTAGTTATGGGTTTTTTTATAGACGACTCATAACCATCTAACACTACTAATAATTATAAAACATTTATCACTGAACAGAAGCTCTAGAACATTAACTAGTAACAAATTATCAATAGAATAATATTTGTACTCTTTGTTTTTATCCACTTATGTCAAGTTATAGATGATTATAAATATCAGGAAACTGGAATGAAATCGTACTTCATCAGTGAAACATGATAATCTAGTCTTACCATTGATTCTTAACTTCTGTGTCTTACATGACATTTATATATATCAAAGCACTAATAACAATGTAGTTGCACTACTCTCTTGGAGTACTTATATATTCTTTTTTGGTGCTTACAAAATTGATGAC